ATAAGCTTGAAAAAATAAAAAAAAATTAAAAATTAAAAAATATTTTTGGAATTTTAATTGGTCCCGACACGATTTCCACAACGAGGGAAAAAAATTATTCAAAAATTGGGAAGATGAGTGTCATAGATTAGCCTCCCGCCTGGGACGTGACCCGTCGGGCCTATTAAACACGTGAAATCGCACGTAGTTATAGACTTCCGCTCCGTACACCGTACGGCTTGAAATTCGTGCATTTCCCTGAAAGTCGAGTTTTTTTCAAAAATAACTTTCAAAATATAATAAAATATAGTTTTCTGGAAGGTTAAAGTCGTATTCTCTCTGAAACGGACTGAAATGCAGAGAGGTACGGCTAAGATGGCTGCGAATACAGGAGAGACATGGTATGAAGGGGAACAGAGAAGCGAAGCAACAGTTATAGTCTGCTTCGCAGAGGAAAATCCAGAAAAACTTTCATTCATAGATTTCATAATTCATAGTAAACTTTTTGGGTGAGAGTGAGGAACCTAAGAAAAAATAATAAAAAGTGTTAACAGAACAAACACACTCAGATTTTGCAGCTCCAAGCTCTCTACTTCATCAGACCATCATATTCAATAGAAGATATAAATCAGAATATGTTACTTGGACACAAGCCGTAACAAAGCAATGGTGATCAGGTTGTGATCTCATAACACAAACGAGGTAAGAAGAAGCGAAACGCTTTCAACAGCGTTGAGGCTCGAGTTCGTAAAACATGGATGAATGCAAATATCTGAGGCAAAGCAACATCCCTTCAATAAAACAATAGATTGAAGAGTATGCCGACAGAAGCATACATATGGTCAACATGAAACAACTGATTGGCCAATCAAATTATAGGAAAAAGATTCGTACGTGATTGATCGTGAGCAAAGGGATGTTCTGTTTCTCTGACATTCCAGAGCGCGCTCTCTGTTCCTGATGTTCTCTAAACATCCAATCTTCAACTTGCAGTATTCTAGTTAAAACAGAAAATGAAGTACATCATCGTGTTCAGCATCGAATTCCGGGTTCAAACAACTCTAGAAGTATTACATTATATGGTTTCTGAAAGCAGCTTCGCTTATTTCAATTCGATGAACGACCGGGTCCTTTTTTTTCTCACGTGAAAATGCCTCCCACGTAGTTTGAAGTTCACGGCTTTTCAAGGGGGTATATAAGCTGAAAAGATTCGGAATAAGTCAGTTGGTGGTCCGAGCCGGGCTGCTCCAATCTTCTCTATTTAGACGGTCAGAACGGCTGCATTTCAATTCTCTCCTGTTCAAGACACTCACTGTGAAGAACAAACCAGCCTCAGTTCTTACTCTCCGTGATTATCAACAGAAGTTCCTTCTACCGTTCTCACAGATCAGCCAAACTTCCTGTTTCCTTCTGTTTCAAGAACGGTAGTTGACATCGCAAGGAATGAACTCCTGTTCAAGGAGAGAATATAAGAGCCTGTCAAGATGATTAAGTAACAAACCTATTCTCACTTCTGCTATACTTTTCACATACGTCATCAAGACTAGGAAATTAATCTTCATATTGTCTTGGAGTAGAGGAATCAGTACCGTTCTCATTCGATCCTTGAACCCAAGCTACACAGGTAACCCTATCCCTTATCTGTTCAGTTCCTGAATATCTTTAGCTAAATCAATACCTATCATTCTTTGACAGTCTTCAATTTTCCATTTCAATCGATTATGAATGCTTCTAGGCCATTTTACCGAAACAGGAACTTTGTCAGGTTGTTTCTTTCTCTCTCAGCTGGGCCGGTGATATTGTTGTCTGAGAAGTAACTTATGGTTAAGGTTTCTCTGAGTTCTACCAGTTCTTTGACCAGGAGTTCATTTCGGATTTTAGGAGAACTTCTACTCCTTTCTCTCTGTGCATACAGCCAGAAGAGAACACACAATCGATATTTATGAGTAAGAAACAACTACGCAGATAAGAACAATTGTAAGAATATATTTCTGTCTTGCTCATTGGTGCTCATTGATGCCAATCATTCAATCAGAAAATGAAACATCATCTTCCAAACAGAGACAGGTCAGTCTATGATACAGAAGACAGAGATTCTCAAACACTAGATCGTTATGCAGTCAGTCTGATCACGAGTGAGTGATGTCGCCTTTTGTGCTGAAACAGTAGAAGAGTTCAGTCTTGTACCAACTTGTCAGTGAATCTACTCAGAGGAAGCAAACTTGAACTAACCTCTCTTGAAGATGGATTGAATCCTATTCCTGTAATCTGTGTTGGACATCAACACGAAGTAAGACCCAAATGCAGGATAGAAACAGATGCTTATTATAGCGATTTGGAACAAAACTGAAAAGAAGTTGTTTGTGATAACCTAGGGATAACACACTTGGATTTCCAATCTTGAAAATACCGCAGAACATCATGAGGATGATAGGAATGGCCAGTCCAATTATTTCTGCGGTCATCTGAAAGGTCGAATAAGCGAATTACGAGTGAAGTAGCTGACAAACAATAAAACTCCAACTGTAAGTCTTCGTTGGTTGGCTAAGAACTGAGCAGACTGGGATGATTTCGCTTGATCTCGGATGCTTCGAACTAGGATGGAAACGGAGACAACCGTAACCAGCGAGTAAACAAACGTGACGAGTATCACATATAATGTTGAAGCAATCACTGCTATTTCAAGTGATGGAACAAAGAACAATACATTCAGAGTATCCATTTCCTTGGGATACACCTTGATCTCCTGAAAACGATTAACTCCAGAAGAATTGATGAAGGATCCCGAACCTGCACACAGATCTTCCGGCCTTGTTCGTTGTGATTTTCTAGCGTGAATCCGCACACCGCTAACAAAATTAATTGAGCTATAAATTGAGCAAAGAATAGTTGCAAGATGAGCTTCTTCGTTCTATCAGGCATTCTTACTGAAACTGCGAGAGCTCGGTTGATCGTAATAAGAAGAGCGAAGGTTACACTCGCTGAAACACATAACGATTACAAAGCAGTTCTCATCCAATCGTCCTTACTAGCTATCACAGCAGCTTCAAGCCAAACTTGCGCCTTAGTGCTCATAATCCCGAAGCGAGTGAACAACCCTCCAAAGTACATGCCGCCACATGGAAAAAAGAAATGTGGTTGGAAACCAATAGTGATAGAGACCTGAGCAACGCCTCCTCTATGTGAGAAAGCTTATTTCAATTTAGAGAAGAACACTTACAACAGGTCGTGTCCATGAATGGC